GCACCCTCGGTTAAACTCTTGCGCCACATCGTCGCCTTGGGCAGCCGTAAACCGCGAGGTCGTACCAGTTCTCTCGCATGCGCCAGGCTAGAGAAACAGGCAGGGGGCATACTCTTGCCGTATACGGTTACCGGGCAGGCTCAGCTCGTCAAAGGACCCCTGGCATTTCGCCCAAACCCCTGATCCAAAGCGTCGAAAAATCGCCATGCCCGTTCGGCCTAAATCGGTCGGATTACCCGAGACACCCGCGCCATTTTGAGAGCTTTGTCCGGGTGGCGGATGGGGCATTCGGATTCGCGCGGAGTGCCCGGGGCGGGAGGATTAGGCCTCCGGAGAACATGAAGATGCCGGCATTCTCGCCGTCTTCCCGCGACAGGCCGTATGCAGCCTGCGGGGGCCCAAAATCAACGTATACGAGCACGATCCCTGAAAATCCTACCATAAGCCGTTTCACCGGCCCGGACGAAGCTTGGGTCCCGGAGGGGGTGTGTGGCTGCGGATGCCTGTTTGTCGTGTGCACAATAAACAGCACAGCGAGGCGGCGGTAATTATATCGTCTGCGGCCGCGATGGCAAGCGAGCCCGTTTAGAATGGCTATTTGTACGTCAATCAGTCATCTCGAGGCGCCGGGAGAAAAGCATCGCCTGCTGTGATTTTGTGGAATCGGTCGAAGCGCGGGAACTCGATGCTGCATAGCGCGGGGTGTCAGATCCAGAGAACTGTGAACTTGTGAAAGCCTTGCGTACGTCAAGACGACCACGGCAGCGACGGAGTCGTCGGATGCATCAAGGAGAGCGGGGGTCGTATATCTTGCCGATTTCGAGGGCAAAGTGGGCAAGCCCGAGGAGCGTCTGGCGGCCAGGATGTGTTAGTGCGCGCTTTCTGTACACCGGGGAAGAATCACGCACTAGTATCCCGACGAAGAGCGCGCTCTTTTTGCCCCTTGAAAGAATAGAGACGGCTCAGAGTCAGCGCCCGATGCCGACGCCGTGGCGTATACGCACGCATCCATAGTCGCCGGATGTAAAACCTGACCAACGATGCGCATCAGATTCTCCGATAATTACTCTAACTGGGGATGCGTGAGGGCTTACAGATGGCAGATGGATGGAAAGCATCATTGAGCCCTACGATCGCGCAAGATCCAGTGAGTAAACAAGGCGCGGGATTGGACGGGTTAGGGTTAGGGTTTAGGGTTAGGGTTAGGGTTAGGGTTAGGGTTAGGGTTAGGGTTAGGGTTAGGGTTAGGGTTAGGGTTAGGGTTAGGGTTAGGGTTAGGGTTAGGG